CGATTCTCGAGGCCGAAAAGCCGAAACTCGCATACCGTGGGTTTGGGGTTTGGTCTAGGACATTTTCAGGTGGGTAGTTACCGTGATAGGAGCCTTATAGAAGGTCTATATACCTTATAGAGGCCTTATATACCCAAAACTCCCCACCTGTAGTTTCCTGTAATTTGGGTTTAGGGCTTATAGCACTCCTCTCTACCGGGCGCCTTCGAGAAAAGCCTTGCTGAACCCTTGAGCCCCCCCCAACAAACACCAATCCCGCAAGCCCTTTAAAGCCCCTAATATAGAAGCCTAAATAATGACCTATATATTCCTTAGGGTTCCTTATCATAAGTATAGTATGGTGGGCCCCGAAACCCTACTCTGATTATTAAGGCCCCGACACTAACGACAAACGCTCAAACTCGCCAGAGCCCGCCAAGCAAAGCCCAGTTCCTGCATGCTGGTCGTGGCGATCTTTGCCACGATGGCACTCAAACCTGGCCTCCCATGAGAGAATCGACCTCAAGGCGCCCTGGGTTTAGGGTTTAGAGTTAAGGGGTTTAGGGTTTAGAGCTAAGGGGTTTAGGGTTTAGAGTTAAGGGGTTTAGGGTTTAGAGTTAAGGGGTTTAGGGTTTAGAGTTAAGGGATTTAGAGTTAAGGGGTTAAGGGGTTTAGGGTTTAGGTTTTTGGTTTCACAAAGGCCTTGCAACGTATTTTTGTATCTGGGGTTGCGGGCTGATTTTAGGGTTTGAGGTTCTTCAGTGCTTTGCTTCGGTTCAGAACCCTAACCCCTAACTCCCTAAACCCTAAACCCTAAACCCTATAACTCCCTAATCCCTAAACCCTAAACGTTCAGGGTTTCGGTGGTCCCAGGGTTCGAGGAGTGTCTTCTGCCAGGGTTTAGGGGTTTAGGGTTAAGGGACGTTTAGGGTTTTTTAGGGTTTAGGGTTTGTTGTTCCGGCAATTTATGGCGCTCTTTGGGCTCAAAGTGTTCGTAGCGGACGGGACTTCTAGCTGCAAAACCTCTCTGACTCTCTGAACCAGTAGCAACGGCGTGATCAAAGTTCTATGAAACTTGATACCCTAAACTCTAAACCCTTAACCCCTAAACCCTATACCCCTAAACCCCTAAACCCCTAAACCCTAAACCCCAAAAAGCCCTCAACCCCTAAACCCTAAAACCCTAAACGGCCAAACGGACCAAAGTTCTATGAAGCTTCAGCACCCGGAGGTTGGGTCTTTGCGTTTGGAGGGGCCTAAATGGTTACCAATACTGTTTTGGGGGTTGCTTTATTATAATTCTAGTATGATGGGCCCCAAAACCTATTCCAAATCCTAAGGCCCCTATATTGCATGGTCGAGTGTCGCCTTTGCGTTTTGGGCTTGGGCACTGCACGGCTTGCGATTTTGAGGGTGATGATGGTGACGACGGCGATGATTACGCAGACGATGATGATGTTTTTGTTGATGATGATCTTCATCGCCACTGTCATTATCATCACCCTCAACAACAACGTCACCGGCATCTTCATGGTAACGTGCTACGTTCTGTCGATATTTTGCTGTTCTCAACGTCGTTGTTCAGAGCTTGTTGACGGTCCCCTCAACCCTAAGCTTAAGCCGCACGCAGAGGCCAATGCCCAGAAAGGCGACAAAGATCTCCTCTGGGCTCTGGTGCGACCTCACGGGTCCAAAACCCATGAGGTCGCAAGGGCATGCGGCACAAAACAGCCGGGTTAAGGGTTTACCTTGGCCCAAATAACCTACCCTTTTAAGGACTTTTATAAAGAAGTCATAATAACGAACCCTAAAAGGGTAGGTTCTTTAGGGTCCAGGTAGGGTTTAGGGCATCCAACCTGAAGCCCCAACTCCATGAAATCATAAACCCCACCACTACACCGAGCCATACACTTAGTGTAGATGACCTTCGGAAGGAAGCCGTCTTGCCCTTTGATAGCAGAAGTACCCTACATCTAGGGTCCTGGACGAGACCCCGGTCAGGTTTTAGCATCTAGGGCCATGAGTTAGTTCCCAGAGACTCCAGTATCCCTTAATTAAGGAATATACCTTAAATCATATAAGGGATCCTATTATGATTTAAGGTATATTCCTTAATGAAGGGATATTGGAGTCTCTGGGTTCCTAAGTTGTCAGACAAGCCCTAAACCCTAAACCCTAAACCCTAAACTGCTCGCTGTCGCTGCAACTCTCTGCACCTCGCAGCCGTGTTGCTCTTCGTCAAGGCACATCGGCGAGTCGACGTAGAGACCTAAAGGGCCTAAAGGCCTAAAGTATACTACATCTTAGGGTGCCCATAGATATATATATATATATATATATGTATATATATATATACTACATCTTAGGTAGGTAGTATGATTAGGGGTACCCCTTAAAGGGTACCCCTTCTGAGCCCTACTTTTGGCTCTCTTAAAAGGGACCTTATTGAGAGGGTCTATCTCCCCAAGGGTCCCCCTAATCCTAGCTCCCATGAGGGTGCCCCCATATTCGCCCAAGCCCATCCCCCCCAAAATCGAAAAAGCAACAAACACACGACCAGGAGTCGAATTGTCTAAGCTTGTCTACGCCTATAGGAGTATCGGTAGCACAAGGTTTCGAGCTCAGGGGTATGGGTTTAAGGTTTAGGGAAAATCCGAGTTCGATTTCCTTCTGAGGTACGTGTTTCAGAAGGAGTCTAGACAAATCACTAAAGAAAGGGGGCGGAATGGAGATGCCAAGCAGCAGTTACCGGCCACGCTCCGTTTTAGCATTGGGGACTTTTCGGCTTACGGACGAGCCGGAACCATGTTTCCTAAATCCAAACGGTGCACGATGTTGGGGTTGACGGTCAGCTGAGTTTATTGTGATGCACCAGGAACGCGACAGTACAACCTGCTATGAAGCCTTCCAGCAGCATTGCCATAGAGTCTGTGAAGCGCCGTAGTTCAGCCCGTATCCCAACCATAGCCCGATCCCGAAGCGTTTGGAGCAAGCTCATGGCGACGAGAAAGCGGTACAGGCTCCCCCGCGATGCCCCCGAAGAGGCTGCGGCTTTGGGATTTCTGTAGAGGTGTGAGTAGTTAATCATACTGTCCCATTGTAGCCATCTTAATTCATTCTATAATATCGAATATAGTATCGCCCACCCTCAATTACCAAGGCCCCTATATTCGGTCTCAGGGTTTCGATGGTTCAGGTTTGTGGGGATTGAGAACTACCGAACCCCAATGAACCCTGAAGTTGCTCTTCAAAGCCTAGAGGTTAGGAACCCAAAAAGAACATAAGCATAAGCATCTGAAAGGGATATCCCTACCTCACTGGGCTTAATTATAAGGGGGTTGTGCTTTTTTGGGGCCCTAATAGGGAAGCCCTACCTAGAGTCTCCATTGTAGTTCCTTTTGGGGGTATCTTATGAGATCCTCAATATGGGGGCTTCCGAAAATAAGGGGTGCCTTATTTGGGGGTCCTTCTAGTAAGAATCCTAGTATTTGTGCTATATTAGGGTCCCCTATTTTCGGAAACCCCCATATATAATTGGTTAAACCAAAAACAGGAACTACAATGGATACTATAGGTAAACCCTAAACCCTAAACGAAACAAGGAGTATCAATCCGCCAAACTCACCCCTCAACCCACACCAGGCCGGGCCAGTCCCAAAATCACTTTAGTCACACCTTTTACGTGTGAGTGCCCCAGTAGTACCCTTTTTCCAATATGACGAGAAGGGTACCCTTATTATTAAAGGGGTTACTGGGCAACCTAGCCAAAACCCCTTTCAACTGAGATGCCTAAGTACCCCAAACCCGAAAACCCTATTCAAAGAGGCTCTTCCAAAGCGAAAGCGCGGGCGCCCGTTAAAGGCAAAGTTTGCAGAGGACCCACGGAGACGGGTTTAGGGATTTAGGGGTTTAGGGTTTGGGTAGGCTGTAAAGAAGCAAGGGTTTGGGTTTAGGGGTTTTAGGGTTTAAAAGGGGTTAACTAGTCATTTTGTTTTCTCCTTTACGCGATAAGGGATTTAGCTTTAAGGAAAAATAAGGGGTTGGGTTTAGGGGTGGACAGGATGGGTAAAGATGATAGCCCGTCTAGTCATTTTCAAAAGGGAGTGTGCATACAGCCCCAGTTATAGCAAGAAGAATATGCTCCCCTTGTTATAGGGGTGTCGAATATAGTCCCTGTGATAAGTAGAGCACCATACATGTATATATATATATATATACACACACACACATATATACATATATACACACACACCTAAACTAATTGAACATCTTGGACTTTCAGGCTTTAGGGTTGCATTCCCCTTTCTCTTTTACTGGTGAGCTGTTATGTTGATTTTTGTTTGTGGTGATGCATCGACTAAGTTGTGTAGGCTTGAGGCTTGCGGGTTGAAGGCTGTCGTGATTGCAGTTGCGGGTTTGAGGTTTAGGGTTTGGGGGTTTAGGGTTTAGGATTTAGGGGAGGGTTTGGGGCATAGTCAGTTGTTGGGGTTTAGGGCTTGGGGTTTCAGCTATCGGCAGAGCTCAGAGCGTCCGATACAGTTAAACAGGGTTCTTTCCCTCAAGCAGAAGCCCATATCATAATATAATGAAGTAAGGAGCATTCCTTACCGTAAGGGTCCAAGCACTCAGAAATATACACCTTTACTCTAAAGCTCCTGAATAGGAAGCCTTTTAAGGCCAAAGCATACACTATATGGGTACAAGATTCACCCTAAAGTTCCTATGTAGGAAGCCTTTAACTCCAAAGCATACAATTATATAGATACCTGGCTCCTAAGGTTACTTCATGTCCTGGCTTCTTTCGGTGGTTCGTTGGGTGCCAAGCTTGGAGGATCTAAGGTTAGAAGTATGGGCCCCTAATATGGACCCTTAGTGGATTCTAGGGACCCTTAAGGGTACGTATATGGTATATAAGGATCCCAGGCTTAAGGGCCCTTACTAAGAGCCCATGGTTTCAAACTTAGTGAGGACCAGGGGTCTCAGAGCTCAGGGCGCACAACGACTGCAGGGAGGGTTTCGGGGTTGCGGTTGATATGTGGATAGTTGTCAAACTTATGGTCCCTTTTGGGGTACCCTAAATAATATAGGTGCCGTATTATAATAAGGGCCCAAAAGGGGACCATAATTTTGACAACCACCCATGTGGATAACCTCTACAACCGAAACCCTGAACCCTGAGTCTTAATAGGGTTATGAATCCGGCCGAAGTGTTTATTTTTTTCACCAAGTCTTTCTCTCACAGGTTTCTACAAACTACAGGGGCTTACAAATTAGCGTCTGGTGTGGGTGTATGTTGTACTACAGTGTGCATAAGGGGCCCTACTGGTTATTATCATTGATTACTCCGTGTTAGATGATACGCTTTAGCGACTTCAGCGACTATGCCTAAGCCTGCAGCCACAGGACACATGGAGCGTCGCTGCGCCAAAGATAGCCGGCGAACATACCTGTGGCGTGCTGCTTCTTGCTCCAGAGGAAGTTTGGTGCTTTGGGATTAAGTCTTTCGGATGC